CAAAACTTCCTTTGCCTCCAATGCCACTACCAATAGTTATTGTCTGTTCAGCCAAAAAATGTTGTATACCATTTAAAAAAGTTGTCTTATTTTTATCATCTACATTTAATGTAAGTAATCCTTTAGTATAATTTAAACAAATTTTATGCCAAGATCCTTCAATGTTTAAATCATATTTAACAGTTGTTAATTGTGTTACATTTTTACTAGACGATGGCGTGAGTTCAAAACGTATTTCATTGTTTACCATCCGCAACTTATAACAATATTTTCAATTTATTAATTATGTAATATAAATAAACTATAAGAGTATAAATTGCCTATTTAAAAATTTCTACTTACTTCCCAAAATCCTGAAGTATTCTGAGTGGATGTTATCACAGGCGATGACACTAAAATAGCCATGTGCTTATGACTTTTAAAATCAAACATTAAACTTATATGATTAACGGATGCTACTGGCCATAAAATATGTGAAGATGGAAATGGCAATGTTATAGGAATCATGTCAACTTCAGTTTCTGTAAATTCTGGTGATAAAAATCCGATGTAATGCACTTTTGGATTTCCTCTTTTTAATTCGTATAATATTGATATGTCATTAAAGAAAACATATTTTAGAGAACCTATAAAGTTATTATGTGATTTCAAACCTGAAATCAAATATTATTTGTTAATTTAATTAATCATACTTTTAATTTAAATAATGATCATAATTTATGTTGTACCGGGTTTATTAGAAAGTGTAGGACCGCCACCAAAGTATATTTCAGGATCTATGTATAAATAATTTCGTGTTCCAGCCAAAATATAATTTTTAGTTTCTCCATTAAACATAATATCGACCATATTTTCTTTATGTAATATTGTCAAGTTATGCCATTGGTTTGAGTTTGTATTATTACCTACAGTTGCAAATATAGGCTCTCCATCTCCAAGTTCAATTTCAACTATAACTGATCCATTATAAATTGATATCGCTATGTGATGATGTTTATGAGACTCTCCGCTCGCATAAAATAAAGCAGAATCATCAAATCTAGTCTTAAACATAAAACTAATACGATTCATACTTGAATGAACTCTATCTTTCCAGTCATAAACGCGATAAGATACATAGGAAGATCCTCGTAAAGTTAATACAGTAGAAACTGAAAATGGTTAATCAGTTTATATAGGTACTAATGATTTAAATCCAGCACATTTCTTATAAATAAACTATGATTATACCATAAATATCACAGTATTCGCCTTCATAAAGAGTTCCAAAACAATCACAAGACAATTGGTTGTAATGATTAATACATAGACTACCTTGAAAACAAATATTGTCTTCAGTTTTACATCTGAAATTAGTGTTTAAAATGAATAGCTTGCTAATAATATGTATTTTAAATTTCAATAATTTACTCTTAAATGGTTTTAAAATAAACCATACTTATCTATGCAACCTTCTTGTACATTGTCATGCTTAGTAGCAATTAACGGTTTGATGGGTAATAAATCTGAAGCAGCTTTTCCAGCACTCAAAACCATTTCTTTTATGCAGCCAACAAATGATTCAATAATATACTTAACACCATGTAGTTTTTCCTCAGGGCTCAAACCTAAAGAAATCATAAAGAAATTCATAAAATAATATTAGGTAAGAATTTATAATAGTCAAAAGACACTTAAATAGATTTTGTCAAACTGATCAACTAGAGGAAAAATTAAATTTAGGTTTTTGTACCTTAACTGCAAGTTTTTACAATTCACATTTAATCACTATGATCTATATTCAAATCTAACATTTTCTTAACAGAATAGAAGTAGTTCAGACATTTTTCATTTCTAGTATAAATGTTTTATAACTTAACTTGTAATAAAGGATTACATTATAAAAATCTAAATATTTTTCTTATGATAGCCCTAACAAATGAAAAATTGGATTTTAAATAATAATTGTATAACTAATGACTAAAATTTAAATATGACAATACTTGATTAACTTAGAGAATTCTTAAAAATAAAGCAAAAGTATGAAAGGACCTATGGTATGTTTTTAATTTTAATAAATTCATGAAGAACTAATTAAGGCATTGTTGTAAGTTGAAAAAAATTTTTTAATTATATTTATTTTTTTATAATTTTTAAACTTTCCCAATTAACCTTATTTGATAGTATCTATTATATAGAAACAAAATCAGTGTTGCTCAATATATATATACATATTTTTTTCAACATTACTTTTTTTTTATTCATATAAAAAAATTGATTTATAATGTATACATCTAATTAATTATTTTTATTTTTTACTTAACTAAATATAATTTATTTTTAAATTACATCAATAAGATTAGGAAAATTAATTAATTACATTTCAATCTAACTATTCTAATTATTAAATTCATACCACCAATTAAAACTACAGATGTTAAGTCTGTAGATATGCCATAGTTACTAGACTTATGTAATCCTTGAATTATTTTTTCTGCACTTATGTTATCTACTTTTGCTATAAGTCTAGCGCCATGTACATCTATGCGTACAGTAACAGTGTGCCAAATATCATGATTCAATCCTAAAATATGAAAAAAAAACTTATAAAATTATAATACCTTACATAATAAAAAATTGTATTCAAATAAAATTATAAATAATACAGGACTTTTCACCTTACAACCCCACCAAAAAAAAAAAAAAAAATTAAGATTTGAATTTAATACTGTCTTCTATATTACTAATAGTAACATAATTATGTGTAATATATACACTTGTAGAGAGTAAACATTGAATTTTAAAATAAAATCTTGTTAATAGAATTAAATGTATATATAATTCTTAAGATTTATTATGATTAAAATTAAAATTAATAAAATCAACATTATTTTTCTTAAAATAACTCTATAGTCAATAAAATGTTTTTTCATAGAAAAAAGTTAAGTTATTTTCTGAAAATTTAGTTTAAATGATAGTAACGACTAATGACTATCATTTATTTTTTTGTTGAAGTTAATAGTTTAAAATCTTAGCTTAATGTTAAAAGGGGTTTAAAATTTTAAGCTTCCGAGTGATTATTTACTTTTATATCAGATGATTCTTTTATCAAACAACATTCATTATTTCAAAATCTATTAATGTTTATAAAGATATTTTTTTCTCATGTAATTTCTTGTTGAAATAAAATAACATTTTTTTAAGTTTATAAGTATTTATTTTGTAAGTGGCTTTGCAGTAAATCAACATTTGCATAACATTTCTTTATCTTGCCTCTCCACTCAAAGAACTTTAAATACTTATAAATAATTTATAAGCTACTCGAAAGAATTTCAATTTTTATGTATTAAAATAATCTAAAAAATATTTTGCTTCAGAATATGAAATTAAAAATGTATGTTTTCATTCAAAACAGTAAAAATCTTAAGCAATTATTATGATAAAATAATTAAAAATATATATTTTTAAAAAAAAATTTTGTTTTATTTCGACGAGAAATTATGTAAAAAAAAATATTTTTAAAAACATTTATAGATTTTGAAATAATATTTATTGTGAAAAAAAGACTATTGACTACTGATTACTGACAAAAGAATTGTACTGTTTAACAATTATTTTAAAAGACTTTTTTTGTTAATATTTATAATGTATATATTTGTTATAATTTAGAAAAATTCAAACCTAAATAATGAATGTTTTTAAAATTTTAACATTTTTAAAGTGTTTGAAGACTTAAGATATCTCTAAAGATCTGTTTTATCGATTTGTTACGATAACTATTTTAATATAAAATATGTATTTTTTTAAATCTGTTACTCACCTTCTCCTACTATTACAGAGGTAGAATGTTTACCATAAACATGAACTACTTTAAGTTGTCCTTTTTCTACAATTACGTATAATGCATAAGGAGGAAGACCAGTTGGTCTATCCTTAACACTATGATAAACAAGTAATCCATGCGGTAAACGTGTCCGAAATTGGAATGAGATTTCTCTACAAAGCCTATTCAAATTCAATAATGGAAATTATACAAATGAAAAATTTGTGTACTATAGTGTCAAATTTTACCTTAATTGAAATGTAGGAATACGATTGCCATCAAGCTGTATAAATGCATTATTTTCAGCCATCATAAATACAGTATAATAACCTGATTCAGAAAATGTAAGTTCTGCACCTCTATCACTTGGTGCTATTGGTGCCAATGTAGATGAACCATATTCATATTTTTGTTCAATAGGTTCTGAGACAAAGTATGTATTATTACGATCTAGGAACAATTAAAAGGTTGAATATTTTGATAAACTAATAAATGTACTTAGTTACTTTTACCACCAACACAATAATACAGGCATTCTGCCTCAGAATCAAATATATTTTCACTTTTGCAAATGCCACTTGTGTAAGTCCTACACTGATGTAAAATAGAATCATAGTACCATTTATGTATCCAATTTTGACACGGGCCACGCATAATTGGGATTTCACATCTTTCTATTTTTTAAATATGAAATTAAAATGTATAAATTATATATGATTAAATAAAAAAAAAAATAAAAAATTAATTATATACCCTTGAAATTTTCCAGTGCTTTCACATCAAATACAGTTATAATAAGAAACACAGTTATAAAAATGTGCATTTTTCACTCAAATATTAACATCATCACACAGATGTTAAAAGTAAGATATATATTATATGAGTAGGTATTAGTTAAGTTATTTTAAACCAACTTAGAACTACATCATGTAGTTTTAAAAAGGAAACTGTAGACTACATAGTATATTCACAATAGAATAATAACCCATTCAATTAGATAGTCAATTGAATTCAATTTTTCAATGACTCACAGTTCTTAATGGAACAATAAATTATATAAATAATAATAAAATACAATTAAATTACATGATATATTTTGTGTATTATGTCAATATATTAATAGAAATCACCCAAAACATTTGTATATTCTTAATTTTAATCTACAGAAACAATAAAATACAAAGATTTTATTAAAATAATTTTGAATATAAGTTTTACACAATTTATAAGCTTAAATGTATTATATATAATTATACTTATGATATCTGAAAAAGGAACTGACAGATGTTACATAACATAAACATAGAATTATCATAAGGTGTCGGGAAAACAATGCATTCAATTGGTGACTGACAAACACATGAATGTTCAGCAGCAGTATTTTCCATATTATTTTTTAACGCATCAATTTCAAGGAATGTCTGAATGGATGTATGACATATATCACAAGAAATTGTATTGACAGTTGATTTTATGAGATTGCCAGTATGGCAAACAGGACATTCAATAGAATTATTTTGTAAATGCTGTAAATATATATTATAATCGATATCTTGTTCACATATCCATTTCACTGTAATATAAATACATACATTTGTAAAGTAAAACACACTTTGATGAAAATATAATTTTTTATAATTCATAATACATACTCTCTTCATCTAAGATTTCCTGTTTAATTTCATCAAATATTTTATCTTCTTCGTCCAGAGAATGAAATCCATCATCTTCTTCTACATCCATTCTTGTTATATAGATTAAAACAAATAAAAAATTATTTTATTAAACATTTAATTATTTTTAATATTATTTAATAACATATCATAGTATTATAGTAGCTTTAGATTATACTATATGAGGATTAGCTATATAAATCTACTTCACTTGGTAAAAGATAAACTAACACAAAATAAAGTGTTATATTTGTGTATTTTAGTTTATAGGTAAATCAATATCAGTATGTCTTGCTTTGTGACTAATTTGACTAAGATGGACAATTCACCTAAGGCGGATATGATATATTTATGGTATATTTTTGAATGTGATTCAAACTACTTTTTTAATTTACCTAATAAACTTTGAAAGTTTAGTCAAACAGGTCAAACAGTTTTTGAATCTTTTTATTGTATATTTAAGTAATAAACAATTAATTAAATATTGTTCTATTTTAAAAAAAAATTCTATAGCAACGTTTAGTGATTTACTAGAAAACTGTTAACTAAATTTTATATTTTAACATTATTTTTATAACCAGTAGTAACACTAAATAAAAATAAAATATTCAAATTTTGTGTGCTAAACTGAAATTTATCAGTGAGCCATCCTAATGCAAACTATATGGGTTGTAAAATGAAGCAAGAATACTCTCCAGGTCTGAATAATTGTGTGTGCAATGTTTAGAGCTAATTGGTTTAGTAGTTTCCAAGTTTACAAACTAAATGCAAACATACAGTGAATCCAGGATAAATGATAATGGTAATAAGAGAAACATAAATTAAATATTTTTATGAATATTTTATAGAGTTAAATGGTTAGAAAACCTTTTCTATTACTCTCTAATTTTTAAATAGTTATTTAACTTTAGAAACCCATTCAAAATGATTTTAAATATTATAGATTTACCAGTATAATATGTGATTATAGATTTGTCGAGACTGATTACTAACAGTGCTAAATTCTATTTTAACTATAGTTACTTACATTTTATTTTTCATCTTTACATTGTTTTAAATTTTAAACATAAATTTAATATAAAATATTACTGCATATACATTAAGACATAAAGAAGTTTAATTTAAGAAATAATTTTACTTTATGCATGTCTTGTCAATAAATGAAGTGACCTCATTTTCTCGCATTTCATATGCAACATTGCGCACTTGTTCTAAAAGAGACTCTCGTTTATTCTTAATAATACTTTTGTACCTCTAAAAATAAAAATGAATATATATTTAATTAAATTATAAAAAACAAATGATAAATACACTTATACATACATGTCTCATGATGTCTCGAAAATTGACATCTCGGTTTTTACCACGCTTGTAATTGGCAGAGCGATTTTTAATTTTTGATTCTATACTGGACATAATATTATTGTGTCATCCAACCAACGATTCAAAATAATAATAAATGAATTAAGTTTATAAAAATCAAAAAAATGAAGTTGATTATATATTCGTGTATTATTATAATTTATGAAATTCGGAAGTAATTACTTATTACACAACAAATTAGACCTAACTCGTCAGTTGTCATGACTCATTAATATTTAGTTATTGTATTATAGTATTATAGTTAGTTTTAGAAGTTATCACTTATCATATTTTTTAATAATTATTCCTAAAATTAAAAAATTTGTTATCGGAAATTTAACATTAATCATTGTTCTGTGATATTATCTTTGGGTGGTATTGTAATATTATATTGATAATAAACGGGCGGGAAAATAAAGACTAATATATAGTGTTAAATTATAACAGGCACTGTTGTACATTTTGATAGTCATTTTTATGCTGTGTTGCAAACATCTATTTTATGTGTGCTGTGTGAATTATTTAATTCTGATTTAGTGGTTTTAATACTTTTATGTATTTTTAAAACTTCTTTATAAAATTTCGTTTATATATCGTGATACATAAATTTTAAAGCAAAAAAATTATTTCTAATGTATGAAATTTTATTAAATTGCTATTGAAAAAAAAAAAAATTAAAAAATTTGAAAATTTTTTTTTTACAAATTTTTCCAAAAGCACTCAAAAAATTGCTGCTGAGGCTTGAGGTGTTTCATATATAACGATAAGACGTATATGTGTATAAGCCAAAGAATCTTCAGAGGATATTATCCGTTGTTTATAAATCATCACGTAAATTAAACAAGTGATGAAAGAAATGAATATAGCCGGATGATTTTGATTCTGATGTTCCTAATTCGACGGACAGTCAATAGTAAACGAATTTTATAATAAAGGCAACATATCCAACAGTTCTTTTAATTTTAAATTAAATTTAAAAAAAAAATAAATACATTATTATGATGAAAATTGTCCAGTTTGTCGGTAGGTTATTAATAAACTAAAAATTTACTTTTAAATAATGTGATGATAGCCGAAAGATGCTAATGAACTAATGGAGCAAAATGTTTTGACGCTTTGCATTGTAATTGTTAAAATTGTTTACGTTCAATTTATACACTTCGATGGGATAAAAAATGCCCAATCGCGGGTAATCTGTGAGATCTACTTGTATGAAATCTGGATAAACAAATCATTCAAGGTCCATTATATTTGGTGAAATAATGAATAGGAACTAAAAGATAAAAAATACTGACTGGCAAAGTAGGTCGGCTAATTATTATACGCATGCTGGATCATTTCGTTTTGGCTGAAAAATCCAAGACGAAGATAATGAGAAGAACATATTAAGAGATAATCTATTGAAGTCAGTTATGATGACGTAGAAACACTTATTAAATGTTGTTATTTTATTAACTTTTTCCACTGTTAATAATATTCATACATTTTCCTGGATATTAAATATGTACATCATTTATTTCATCATGAATTATAAAATAAATAGCAAATAAAAATATTGCTTTATTATCTATGATAAAAAATAATACTTGTTTAAATAATTTGATGTTTCAAAAGACGAGGGCTATTTGTCTTGAATTGACAACCACTATCGAAAAACTGCCACTTGGCGCATGGCGGTCGGTGCTCATTTTTCATTATTAAAAATAATGGATTACTAAAAGATAAGAACTTTATTTTATTCATATAAATGATATCAAAAAATAAAAAATGATGTTGTACAACCGAAGTATTTCAAGTATTCCTTTTTACAGTGTGAAAATTGGGTTGTTTAACTTGGACTAAATGGACTAGCCCTAGTGGTTCTTCAGTTCTTGCCTACGTGAAATGGTTTTTATTAGGTTATACGCTTGTAAGACAGATAATATCTGGATGAAGCATCTTCTTAAATTAAATCGCTTTCAATTAAATAGAAAACCTAAGAAACGAAATACCAAAAATTTGACAATAGAGTATTGAAAAATTTATGATTGTAGATTGGAGGTTCAATAGTAAAAAATACCCAGTAACAAAAAATCGTAAAAAATAGGAACTATTAATTTTTAACAGAATAAAATTCGATTTTCTGTTTAAATTTGAAAATTAATAGTTGTAAGCACTAAAATTTTATCAACTGCCAAGTACTAATACTCATCATTTTTGCACTATTTTGGCTTTTTTTTTTAATTTATAATTAGGCATTTACAATGTATTATTTATTTACAACTCAAGTATAATAATAGTTTTGTTTTTAAGTATAAAGTTTGAAGATTTAATTCAATATTTATCTTTGTTACTATCAATCAAATGTGGACAGCAGAGATATCTCTAATCATTATATATGTAATAGTATTTAAAATTGAAATATAAGTTTTTGAATTTAATCATATTGTAGAATATTATTATGTTTAACCAACTGCTTGATTACCATTACTTATTTTAATTAAAAAAATATATTTATAATAGATTTGAATAATTCACATTTTACCAATTTGAATTTAAGTATAGTTCTATAATCAAAATTAATAAATAGGCCTATCCAAGTATAGTACACAAATTGTGTCATTATTTGAAAAATTCAAGTATTGCTGCATATCTACATAATAGAAATTTAAACATTTAAGTATTTTAATATGTATACATTTATTACTTAGGTTTAATCCTAATTTATGAACAAGTTTAAATGACTAGATCCTTCCACAATATAAGCTAAGTTAATCAACTAATTAACTTAGTTTATTTTGTCAACAACCAAATTCATAATTCCAATAAGAAATTTAATGAAACTTCAAAAATTTTCACACTTTATGCGTTAAAACCTGACAAGTCAATAAATGTATTAATCATTTATCAGTAATTGGATAGAAATATGTGAATTTAGACTTTTATCACCTATCGTTCAATTTTCTCATTTCAAAATTCTGTACCAGTTAATATTGTCTATTTCAGAAATTTTAAAATAAAATATATGGTATAATACACTTCTGTGAAATAGATTATTCACTATGTGTAATAACAAATAACTAACATACCTGAAAAATAAATTTCAATAAAAAATGACTAGTTTTGAAAAGCTATTTGATATATCAATAAATAAATATTTCTAGATATCAAACAAAACAATAATGTTTAACTAAAAAAGATTAAATTAATTTATGATCATTTTTTATTATAATAGTTGGAATTAAAATTACATATTTTAATATTAATTAACAAAATATTTTTAATTTTGTATCTTTTGAAATATGATATTCTACATATTTATGTATAGTATAAACATGATGTATTATGTTGAAATGAAATAATTTTAAGTAATAGACATGTTAAATTAAAATGTAATACTGTTTTTTAAAATCATGTTCTCGTGATTATACTTAGTTTTTATTGAATTTCATATAAAAATATTCAACAAATGTAATGTTAAAATACATAGATTATTAAATAAATAACCTATAAAAATATTCAAATCATATTAATTTGATAAGTAAATTTAGTAACTATGTTTATATGTAACATAAATATAAATATATAAATACAAATATAAATATAACATACAAATTAAAACATTTTGGAGCAAAGTAAAACTGTTACTAAAAAAATTATTTCAAAAGTATTATTACTTTAATATTACTTATTTATACTAACGATTTGAAAAAAAAAACATTTTAAAAATTTGGCAAACAGGTGGTTACATGATAAAAAATATTTTTTTTTTTTTCAAAATAAATGGCTGGAAATAAAAGTATATAATGTAAATAAATAAAACTAAAGCAAATTTTTGACAAATTTATGTCTGTTAAAACAAAATTATTTAGTTAATGTTTTAATTACAGTTTCTTCAAATTCAACTTTTTTATCAATTCGAATGTGTTCGATTCCATCCAAACTTTTTAATACAATCCAATGTGGTACTTTTTCTTGGAGAAGATTCAAGTGTGCTTTCCATTCCTCTAAAATAATAACAGTTATTTTTATTATTATTTCTATAACTTGTAGAAAAATTGTGAAATAACGAAGGGAATATTTAATTACCGTCTGTCATAGCTTCAGGATAACTTTGTTTTAACTGACCAATAACCTTTTTGAATGGCATAACATTTCTTTGAAGTTGTACAAAATAGGTGCGGATCCTTCTTGCAATATCTGGTAATCTATTCATCATTCTATCTTCATCTATTTGACCTACCGACCGTGTCATCAACTCTTTAGCTTTTTCCGCTTGTTTTTCCTGAATCTTTACATAAATATTTAAGTATACATGTAAAAACTCAGAATATGGAAATAATACCTTTAGTAAAAATGATTTGGGAATCCCTTTAAGTGCTCCTGTTAAAGCATTTTTTGCATCTGTAGTTGGAAATTTTTTTTCAGTTAAATTTTTATTTTCATTATTCATTGTTGTGAGAGTGCGGTTTAAACGATTATTGTAAACAAACAATGCATGCGATTTGTCTAAAATAAATTAAGTAGTAATTATTATATTAATTAATCATTTAATTTAAATATTTTTATAAGACTAAGTAAATAAATACCCAATAAATCTTTGGCAGTTATTATTTTTGATTTGTTAATTTCAATTTTAGGTAATGTTGAAGGAATAATATCTTGTACTGTTTCAACATCAAACTCAGGATGCCATCTGGTTATTTTATCTTTGTCAATCACAATAGGGGGAATTAATTTACTTAAATATTCCTGAAAACCGTAAAATAATAGTTATTTTAATTTAATATAATTAGTTACAATCACTACAAAAATTATACTTGATGATGCTCCTTCAAAATATCAAGTAGTGCATTAGAAAATGTTTTTTTTCTTTGAGTAGTTAGTTCAATTAAGTCAATATTATCTTCATTTACTGAGCCTAATTAATAAAACAAATTAATAATCTAATAATATCAAATTAATAACTATACTAATATTATTTACCATAATTTGGAGTTATCACTAGTTCATAACTAGATTTTTCTTTTGGTGATTTTACTAATGCAAACTTAAAAAAATCTGGTACTACAGTTTTGATTTGTGCCAAGTGCAATTCAGTAAAATTTCTAAAAAAAAAAAAATAATAATTATAAGTTGTTCATAACAAGATTAATTAAAATATATTTTTTTAAATTTAAATGATTACTTTCTAGTCATTTGCTGAATACCACGTTTGAGTTTATTAAATGTTATTTTTTCTTTTCTAGTAAACATCATAGACGATACAGTTTCCAAAGCTTTGAATAATTCGTCCAAAACACGGTATTTTAAAGGCAAAGGTAATGTTTTAGTATCAACTAATGCAGCATATCGTTTTGATGGTGACATAGCTAATAGAGATCCAACTTCATCTAATAATTTTCTAGGTGAAACATATTCTCTGGGCTGTGTTATCTGAGTGGTCGTCATTACTTTTCTTGGACTAACCATAAACTGTGTTGGGGTAAGAAATAAGGCTGTAGGTTTAAGTTGAGATCGTTTGATAGGACTTGATCCAACTTTTACTGGGCTAGTATCAACCATGAGATCAACTGATTTAAATGAAGATAAGCAATGACTTTTAGCAGCTTCAACTTTAGATTCTGCAGAGTTAAGATCAATTTGTGATTGTTCTACTGAGTTTAATTTTTCTTGTAATTTCTTAAAGTTGTGTTTACGACGAATAATTTTACGAAATTCGCCTAAATCCAATTCCTAAATTAATTAAATAAATATTAATTTATCATAATTATTGTTTAAATAAAAAAAAAATTTTTTTTAATTTTTTTTGTTAGAAGTATGATCAATAGGTCAAGGTTACCAAGATTATCTTTATATCTTCATTATACATAATTGTATCATAAAAATAAAAGAAATTTTCTTTTAACTTATCAGTTATAGGACAATTTATATTTTTAAAATAAATACAATTGACATGAATTTAATTTTTATCTAGTTATTTAAGTCATACATATAATACAACTATTGATAAACATACTTTACGTAATTTGGCCTTAGTTGATGGTGATTGATCCGGTGTTGTTTCTCTTTCAGAACGAACTTCATCCTTATTTTCAGTTTCTTTTTTCTCCAAAATATTTTCAGAAACAGTATTATTAACAGAAGCATTTAAATTATCTTGGCTAATTGTTTGTATTATATCAGAATCAACCTAAAAATAAATTTAAATGATAAATAAAAATGATAGGTACAACTATACATAATATGTATTTGACAGAATAATAAATTATAAATGTATGTCAGAGGTAACAAATAAACTAATTATTTTTAATAATAAAACCCAATTATATAATATGGGAAAATATTTTGATAAGTATAAAATTACTTATAATTTAAGTAAAAAAAATCTATTGGTTTTATACTGTTATTTTTCCTTTTTAATCAAGTCTATAAATGTTTTATCTTGCAATAAATATAAGTTTGGATTTTGATGACTAAGGTGGCTTTATGTACATAGGTTATTTTAATTTTATACATAATATTTATCTAAGTCTCAAAAACTACAAAATAACCAAAACTTATTATAATAAAAATTATGAGTATAGTCAATGCTATAAATGACAACGTTTTTTCATTAATTTTTCTTTAAGCTAAAGAAAATTATTAAAAAAGATATTTCAAAATCTGAAGTTTTTAAGAGGATAAATTATAGATTAGTGGAATGATTAGAATTGTAGGGTTTTAAGACTCCATAAAATTGAATTCTATAAATTATTTAAATGTAACTGGACAACTTTTCTACTTACTTCTCTTTTGAATTTACTTTTTGCATATTTTGTGGTTAGATACAGATCAGCGGTTCCCAACCCTTAGGCCACGAGCAACATGGTATTAGGCCGTGAACCATATATTATTAAATATTATATATATATATTTAAAATAATATTATTATATATATACATTATTTTTTTTTATAAATATACCTTATATTTTATAATATTTCTGGTTATAATAATATTTAATCAATATTAACTACAGTGTACAATTAACGGTATCGAACATTTGAATGTAGTTTTATCTCATATAGTTAGTTTATTACTAATAGGTTCATGTTATTTATTATTTTAATCATATTTATCATGCACTAGTGAAGACATTTTCAAATCTGTTGACTGTTTTATAAAAATAGAACTATGTAGATTGGTCTAAGTATGTAGGTTTGACAACTGATGGGACATGTGCTATGTTTGTAATTCATACAGGATTAATTTCCAAAATTAGATTAGTTGCTCCTTTGGTTCAATGGACATATTGTAGCATACATATAGAGGCTCTTACAATTAAAGGCTTGGATGAGTGTCTAAAAAATACTGTGGATGATGCAGTTAAAATCATCAACTTTATTAAAGTAAGGCCTAAAAACTCTAGACTTTTTGGTATTTTGTGTGATAAAATATGGGCAGTGAACAAAAACAGTTTCTACTTCACTGTAAAGCTTATTGGCTATCAAGAGGTAAAATGTTGTCAAAATTCTTTTATTTCTAATAACTGCCGTATGTGTATATGTGTGTGTATGTGTATGCTTACGTATATAGGTGGGCCTTAAAGATTTTTTTACAAAATTGGTGGTCTGCACAACTAAAAAGGTTGGGAACTGCTGATATTGATGATTATTTTATAAGTTACACATATATACTATATAGATATATTATTTTATAAATTTTTACTTTAATAACTCATATTTTATCTATATTAACCACATATTAAACATTATTTTTAACAATATAAAGCAATCAGTTTCTGGCAATAATATAAATTTCTCTGATTTGACTGTAAAACTGTTATTTTTTATTATGCCACTTGAGAGAAATATTTTTCCAATTAGATCAAGCTTTGGGCCAACAAAAGTAAAAACTCAAAATACGGATTGATTATGAGTGTTTAGTCATATATATATATATTTTTATTAATAATGATAAATTAGTATTAACATTAGTATAAAACATTACTGAATCAAATTATTAAACTGTATAGTAGCTGTAATTAAATGTTAGAAATTCTAAGTCAGTAGGCTAATAATTTGATAATGTGTTCATTATTTATAGTATTTTGTTAAGTCAGGTTTGATTGGCCAACTAAATTATTCTATAAATAGAGAAAAAAAAATTTTACAACACTTAATTCGATGTATTTAATTTAGTATAAATTTAAGCATTATTTTAATTAATTGAATGTCTAATATAACTAAAACATATTATAGCATTGAAAAATATAATATAGCGAATTCTATTTAATGTGATCACATTGCAGGTACAGGTAATTTGATTCTGTAAATCGTTAACCAGTTAATTCTATAAAACATTTTAATTTTAATATTAAAACCTGAAATTAAAACTTATATACATGGTAAGATATACTTATTTTATGCTTAGTGTTCAAAAATTTACTTATGATTTTTTTAAATTTTCTATAAAATTCAAATAAACTGGGAATTTTTTAAAGTTGATGCGACTTCTCTTAGAAAACATTTATCAAAACATAAGTATACAAATAAATTTCTTTTTTATCTTTTATTGATACATATTTCCACTTTTGTGATGTTTAAAAAAAAATGTAAAACAAATATCAAACCAAACTGAATGTGACACAAATCAATAACTTAACTATGATGTACAAAGATACATAAATTAGTTCAAAAATAAAATTAATTTTATAATTTAACAACCAATTTGAAAATCCACAAAATTTATAAAAAAACATTCATGCAAGTGATTCAATTATGTGATATTTTGTGATTCTAATAAAAGGTAAATTTAACATTAGTAACACAATTAGATTCATAGATTTTTTACAATTCCAATAAACAATAAATTATGTAAGCCATTAACGACATTAAGCAAAACTCATTGTATTACGATGTATAATTCTAATAGTTAATTACTAATTAGTTGACTAACCTTTTGTTTTTTAACCGTTTGCTGCGCGGTACAATCAAACGACAATTTTCTAGTTGGTTTATTTATTCCAATGGTATTGTTCAATAGTTCTTTTTTATGTAAACCATCTTCATTGGTTGGCCTTTTTCTACTTTTGATGAAATTATCCAACGTTTTTTGAGTATCCATGTTTACTTCAATAACAATTTGATTTTTCGATTGAATTGCAGAATAAAAATTGATGTAGGTCAATAGTCACTATTCAGTACTCACTAATCAGTATGGTCATAAATAATTTGACATCAATAATGGAATTTCCAATAACTATTACTTATCTAATAGCACTAGCATAATATATTAACGACGAATACTAATGTATGCTTTAAGCATTTAACAAGTGTATTCATAGAGAAGAATATTAGAGTTGAATAAAAGCGGACTATTCACGGAGTGTTTACTGTTAAATATTTATGAACTATGAAGTAGCTTGTTACAGGTGAAGAGAATAAGTAATAATCAAAAATCTTCGCTGGGTTATCTCTATAGTTAATTTTATAGACCTAAACAATAATAATTAACAATATATAGAGGCTACCGGTCACCGTATTCACTGAACAAAACAGTAAACACTAAAACTAAACACTAAACAGACAACAGTACTATATTAACTATTCAGTGCTACCGACTGGCCAACTGCAGTATTGCACACAACTTCATTACATCTACAAACTGCAGGGGCTGCATATTTTGTATGAAATCAGTTCTTCTCCTGATAATAACTATAGGATTTATGCCTTGGTAACCGGTAGCTCTTGTTTAGTTATCACAATTAAAGATATCTTTAATCATGCTTATAATCTACATAGTGTGCGATACCATGGCTTAAGCAATACTGATAACTAATATATTAAAGTTCTCATTTCTATTAATTCTAATTACTAATTTCTATGTAGCTTACTTGTTCATTTAATTAATTTAGTGGTTATACGAGAATTTGTGATACATTAAAATATTTGAAATGTTGGGCATCAATCTGGTTAGAAGTATTAGATCTTTTTCAACCAGTAATAGTTTAAGATTAGATATGTCTTGGAGATCTTCGTAAGTAGCTAAATATATAAGTATTCATATATTTTGTAAAATTATAATATTCAATTTATATAGAATGTTTCTCAATTACATTGTATCAATTCTATAAAAAAATATTGTGATAAATAAAATATTTAATTTTAAAATTAATCATTGAGAATTATTAAGAAAATTGTTAAATTGTTATTTTTTTTCTTCGTCATGACCCATAAGTATCATTTTTATATCTAATTTATTGAATATCTTCTCCTTTGCAAATTCCTCTGTAATCTTGCTATACTGACATTCCCCATCTCCTTTCCAACAATTTTAAAATGTTACTACAATATACCCACTTTTGTCTCTTAAGATATTTCAATATTTCAAAAATATTTTCTTCATGTAACCAATCTTATAATTGGTATATAACAATCCTCCACACAGCACACTTCCTCATGTTTGTCTTCTTAATTTGTTTGTATAAATTACAATTTGGGTTTATTACTATTTGTTTCATTTATCTAAGTTGCCGTCTTTTCCTATAATACTCTTTACACAAATAAACATTATTTTATAATTAAAAAAAAGCAACTTCTCGTGCTTTAATAACCTACCAAATCTGTGATTTTCTTTTTTTTTTTTGATAATTTTCCATAGAGTATTCTGCTTAATGTTTCATACTTTATCATTCTTCAATAAAGTAGACTACTTAATTTAGATTATATTATGTACCAACTTTTTATTTGTATATTATTTTTATTGTCTAGACTAATATTGTTATCCAAATTAAAAAAAAAATAACAGTATCTTTTTTAATCATAGACTATTAACTTGGAAATTAAAATTTGTTAAAGCATAATTTCTTCCTTTTATAGATTGCACCTTATTGTATTCATAATTTGTTAATTTGAATTTACAGAAAAAAACTGCCTTTAAATCCAATGGATAGAGGTATTCTTACGGATGGTGCTGATTACATTTTTTTGGATGGACGTCCTACCCCATTTGGTATGAAACAAAAACGAAAACTTTTACTTCAAAGAGAATATGCTGTAAGTTTATTAGCAGTATTATAAACATAAATAACAATTTATTCAATTAAGTTTTAAATCATTTTTAGAAAAAAATTGTCGAACTTAGTGAAAGTTTAGACATTGCAAAGGAACGGTATTCAAAGAAAGTTGGAGAAACAGAGGAACAACTAAAACATGTATTGGAAAGGAAACTTAAACCAAAAGGAAATAAAAATATTAGGGACACATAGTCTTCATGTTTTTATTATAATTCATAAATTTGTAGGTAGAAAACACATTTTGTACAAAAAGTTATAATTTAATTCATTGTAATAAAAAAATTACACAACTTTTTACTATGAAAATTTGTTTTTGTATCTAATCAAAATGCATTCCTGAATACACAATTATCCACATTACCTGAAATAAAAATAAAATAAATAAATTACAATATATTATATTATTAAAATTAAGAATCAACTTAATTCTTTAAATATTTCCAAATAAATGAGAATTTTGCTAACAATAATTATAATATAAATATATTTCAATATTAGTTATTTTTATACTTTATATAATTTTAATCTAATGTCAAATTACAAATTGTTTATAGTAAATTATTATGTACTTATGTATAAACTAATTAGTGAAAACTGAGCAGCTGATAAATTGTCACATCACATGGTTTGGTTTTAGTAAGTCTGTAACTTTGCACAATAGTCAAAATCGATTGAATTTTTAGTATTATTTTTATGACTTTATTTTAATCTAATATAGAATTAAATAAAACAACTGGTGATAGTATAATGATAGTAAACATAACAAATATACAGATATTTAGACAATGAGACTTGTATGTATTGACTCTATCTTATTAATACATTTTAAAATTAATGCTCAGTAGTGCTTCACTTTTGTGAGACTGGCTTAAACAGTGAGATTTGATCAAAACTTTATTTTTAAGCAAGAAATAAGCATATAAAATATTAATATTTAATAATAACAACCAGAGAACATAGATAATTGTTTTATCTTTTAGTTTAATAGTAGGTAAATCCATTCTAATACTCAGGTTTGTATCGAAATTGGAACTGTTGAACATAAATTGTTCTCTAATTGTAAGATAGAAACAACAGTACAGCATATAAGAGTGTGACATTATCTTAAGAAAACTTGTGAGAAATATTGGGTTAAAAAATCAATGAATATTAACTAAATTGAAGGAATTTATCTATTTTTATAGATACTATTATTTTCTATAATTATTAACAATATTATAAACTTACTTATCATAATACGAGAAAGAACTTTAACTTGTAAAATAAAGAAAAATATATAAATCAGAACAAAAAAACCTACTAACAATATAACTATATCAAAGTTCTTTACTTGTTAAGTTACTATTTTTGGAACTGATAAAGTACTTTTATGGTAGAGAAGACAACTACATTTATAAGGTTCAATTGATTAAATATTATTTATACCAAAAATCCGGCTAATGAAGTAACAAATCCTTCTTTTGTTAACTCCCAAGCTCCGCCAAATTCTTCTTCATCAATTTGTTGGAAATTGGTAAAATATGCATATAATATAACAGCATTGAGCACTAAAAATCTAAGAAATAAACAAGAAAATTATAAATACTACTACACAATTGTTTTGAAAAAGTTTATAAGCTTATAGTTTTATTTCTTACAATCCTAATCCAAATAGCCCTTTAAGTGGTAATAGGCCCCATAATAGACCAGCAATGAGTCCAATAATTTGCCTTGCCCAATATATTACATCTAGAAATTCATCCTTAATAAACCATTTAAAAATAAATATAAATATTATGTCATGGAACAAAAATAAATAAAAATAAAAATTTCTACTATTTATATTTACTTTGTCAGGCCATTCTGAGTTTTTTGTAGTCGCTTTTTTTAATATATCCCAAATAGAATTTTGAAATGGAGTTTTCTTTTCAAGTACTTTCGACATGTTTTACTTGACGTACATAAGTTGTTAACAATAATTCGACCAAATCTGCTACTTTAATTTTAAAATTACTCGTTTGAATCTAAGCATTCAATAATAAATTTTAATATTTAATTTTTGGTGAGTATTAATTTTTATTTATTTGATACACATTACACTAAGACAATCAATATAATCGATGAGATTGAAAACCGGTATCATAAAATAAAATATTCCAAATATACAGATAGTGAATTGTAGAATTGTGTTAGAAATAAAATTTTAATATTATCTATATAATAAACTTATCAACTAATAGATAATAATGGTGACAAATCACGAAATAGATCTATGCAAGAAAAATTCCAAATTATTCCAATATGGCGTCACTACACTATTATCACAAAATATAATGCTTATCACGAAATATTTGAATTCTTACCGCCCTTCAAAATATAATCCAACTTATAAAAGCAATTACAATATTGTTATTTTAATTTATTTTGATTTACTGTGGAATTTTTCTAATTGCATCAGATATATTGATGGTAAATATATTCGTATAAAACGTCCAAAATATTGGTACAATGTTTAATAATTATAATATTATTTGTCAATACATAGGTATCCAAGGAGTACATAATGTAAAATATAAGTTTATTACAGTGGATTTTTATAGTCATATAGAATGATATGAAAAACAAAGTAATAGAAGTGTATAAAAAACAAATTTCTTTAATATACTACCCAACAGACCGCTTTTCAGTACAAATATTTCAATACCTTTTGTTTTATTAGAACTTGGAAGACCAAGGACGATTGATTTTGTAATATACACTTTACTGTATACATATTATATAGTTATAATATAATCTATCTATTATATAAAAAATAATAATTCTGTATTATCTACAGTAATTAATAATGCTCCAAATATTTAGTATTTAAGATATAATAAACATTATACATTGAGAAGGCTTAATAAGTCATGATAATTTTAAGAAAGATAAAATGTGCCATCTTTTTAAAAAATAAAATATAGTAGTAAAGTAAGTACCTAATACTATTGCAAAAACACTACATTCGTGCAAACATATTTATTAAAGGTACAAACTACATTATCAAAGATGATTATTTGATTGAATTTTAAAGAGACTTTAATCTTTCTATGTATTTTTGCAAAATAGCAAAATAGGTACTTATTTAATAATTTGAATATGTTCAATAATTTTTTGAGGGGGGGATTTTAATTTTTTTTTCAAAAAAAAAAAACACTTCCCAATCAACGCCTGTGTGCTTTACAATAATAATAATCATAATTCATATGGATATAAGGAACATGTAATCAGGAAATTTTAATATTAAAATGTTTTCAACATACTCATAACTAAGTCATAAAACATAGGTTATAACTTATAAGGTATGGAATAAATTGTATTTTTATCAGTATTTTATCATAGGTCTTAATTTTTTTGTCTTAAATTTATTATAACTCTTCTTCTTCTTCTTCTTTTTTCAATAACTTAATAAATTAACATTTAAATTTTATAAAGTAGATATTAATACAAATAATAAAATATATAAAAATACGAATATTGCTTTAAAGTGTGTGAAAATTCACAATATATTCAAACAAGTTATTTTAAAAATGCACACAAAATCATTTTTTAGATTTAAATTATTAATTATAATCATAAGTATAAAGATACATTGTATAAGTAAAAGTAAAATATTTGGTAAAAATAATCATGTTTAAAAGAATACAAATAAGTCAAAACTTGTCAAATCAAAAATACATCTATTATGATTCTTATTCTTATAAATGTGATAAATAAATAATTATATAAATACTAAATGTAGTACAATAATTTTGGAATAAAATAAATGAGAAATATTATTGAATAAATTTGATAATTAACCTTTAGTGACATACCCAGAGTAGATATTTAACACAGACTATTTTTAATATACTGTAAAAAATTTCGTGAAGTTTTTATATTCCATTAAGTAATGATTACTTTAAGTAACTATCATGCTTAATATCATAATATCATTTTTTTAAATTTTTTATTACATATCACCCATAAATTAATTTGAATGTAACAACTAATAAACTTTAAAATAGATTTAAATTTTTTTACATAATTTTTAATATAATAATTAATAAAAAGTTACTAAAAATATAACTATTATTTAAATGGAAAAAAACTTTTTCATATGCATAATTATGTGATCTAATACCAAACATATCACTAAAGGGTAATCATCAAATACCAATTTATTTAGAATATTTCTATATTTTATTTCATAAAATGTATCAGTTTTAAATGTATTTTATATAATTCTATGATAATAAAAATACAGATCTAAGATTTTTAGATATTGAAAAAATTCTAATTTTAAGATCATTAACTGTATAACTGTTTTCATATAAAAATAAATAAATAAATATTATTTTAACTCTTATTTGCATTAATTAAATGTTAGATGACTAGTAGAATAATAAAATACAAAATAATCATTGTTCTGTAGAATAAAAAAAAATGTTCAGAATAATGTTTTTTACAAATATTCAATATCATTACAGTCGTTGGCAATTTTAAAAATAGAGTATACATAATATATTATTTAGATAAATTTACTCCAATAAAGTAATTTATAAATAAAATAAGAATATTTTTATGATTATATAATAATTAATATTATTTCATATTGATGAACTAATTTAAACTTAATGAAAAAGGTGTTCAATTTACAAAAAATAATGAAATTAATAGCTTTTGTATGTATAATTATGAAGAGTTCATTGAACCAACATTAAAATGTGTTTATTTAAATATTAAAATCATATTAATAATTAGTGAAAAACATTTCAAACAAATATTGATAAGTTAATTATAGTCGATGACAAAAATAAATAAACATAGTTGATTTGTTCAACACAAAATTTCAGAAAAAAGTTGACATTTTTATAAATGAATAATCTGTAGAAATTTTTAGTTATAAGAAAGCTAATTTTAATATTTGTTCCATAATTGTTTATTTGTCAGTATAAAAAAACAAATATATTAGACTTTAATAGTTAGATATTTAGAATATTTAATTTTTATAGTATGATAAATTAATATCCTATTTAAAGTTTTTTTTAAGAAAACAAAGATGTTGACAATAATATTATAATTTGTTAATTTTAAAACACAGATCTATATAATTTTAATAATTAATTTAGTTAATAAAATATTAAATTTAAAAAAAATAATAATAAAATTAAATTAAAGTAAATAAATAAATAAAAAACAATTGTAATTATTTTTATTATTAATTGTTTTGTGATTGATTTTAAAAGATATATGTAATTTTAAAATAGCCCTCGTGTAAATATTCATATAATAATATTATCATTTATCTTATTAAAATGTCTTAATTGACGGATGATCAAATATAAAAAATATGATTTATTAATTTGTTTATTTATGTATAAATCATATACCATTTTTATATAATCATTTTCAGCCTGATAGAATTTTTTTTTCATTGATATAATTTAGAGAAAAATTGCCTTAACAATATAAATATACAAATTTTTAAAGTATTCGTTCCATATGTGACCAATTAGACAGCAATATTTACTCATATTTAAAATGGTTACAAATCATGACATTTTTAAAAAAAAATTAAAGATAATATATTTAAAAATTACACATACATTTTACCAAAATTAATCATTTATTTTTCATTAAAAAAGGACAGTTTAGATATAAAGCAAAATAAATTATTTTCGTGTAATTTTTTAGTTACCTACTATACAAATACAAAATAAAAAATTATATGAAATAATATTTATGATTCCATTTGTATAAAGTCATAATTAAAAAAGTTATATTAATTATTACCATTAATTAAATTTAAAGACCTAGTTTGAGAAGTACGCTTTTTTCCATAAATTTGGTACCATCCCTCAATTAAATGCCTACTTTAAGTACTTTATTAAGTGCAACATAATAATTCCAGATGTTTTTTGTATTATTTTGGTTTTCCATATTATCCAGGAACTTTTGATAACTTTTATATGAGCCTATTATTGGATGAACTATTTTTCAACAATTGATTGTTTTATGATCACCATCTCTATTAAACAAAGTTCTATTCATCTGATTTTACAATAATAGCAACAAATAATAGTAGTATAATATGTAATAAGTATAATTATTATTGATACATAATATATGTATTGATCATCTTAGTAGGTCACATATTAAACCTGATATTGCCATAGGTCACAAAAAACTCGATTACCTCAGTATGTTACATAAAGAATAAATATTATATTATATGCATACTTACAGCCTACAGGTTATGTTAATTAATTTTTTATAGGTGTATAGTAGGACGGATTCGTATTTGAACAAAGTTAAAATATTTGAAGCTAGGAAAAATAACAAATACATTTTCAAGTTATTTAAAAACATCTTCATTTTGTTCTTATAATAATTTATTTTTAGAGTTAAATTATGCTTATTTAAGGTAATTAATTTATGGTTTAAGACGGACTATAGAATTTTAATTAATGATAATTTTTGTTATGTTATAAACATAACTATATATTGGGTTTTGTGTTTTCAAGTAATTATATTAACAAAAATTAATGAAAAGTTTATAATTATAATTGTAAATCAACAGATTTGTATTACAGTAAAAAACACTATTTTTAATAATAAATATAAAATTTTATATTTTGGGTTAATTATTTATTTATTAAAATTTAATAATCATTAATGAAAAAATATAATCAGTTACATTATTTTATTATTTTAATTGCTAATCGTGCATTTTAGCATTTGTGTATACAAATAAAGGAGATTTGAACCTTATTTAACTAAACCTCCATAAATTATTGAAAACTTTATGTTATGCTGTGAATTTGTGATAATAAGCTGTTATAAATGTATGCTCATCTTATTTAATAATACTGATAATACAAGATAATAGAATTAAGAACAATAAATATATTTACAGAGGAATCATAAATTTCTTTTTAGAATTTTTAAAAACTATTGCTTTAAAACTTTTTCATATAATTGCACATGAACACCATTGATATATAAAAAGGATCTATAATTTTATATTTTAGAAGATAATTGATTAAATTAAAAAATTAAATGCATTATTTATTAATACATATATGTTATTTTAAATTTTGTTTGCCAATTAATGTAAATACATTTTTTCAATATATTAGGATTATATTACTCTTTCTTTTTTACT